CATGTGTGCCAGAATACATACAGAGAACTGTGTGTAAAGAACGGTGTTCAGCAGCAAATGCTCTAAATAAGCGGAATATCCAGCAACTGGAGAGAAATTGTTTCATGTACGGTTAAATTGGGAATCAGTCAACTGAATGTCATGTTCTCACACATTAATGCCCTAGAGGAGCAGCTGCTGTGTAATAAAAAAAAAATTTTAAAGGTAAAATATTTTACAGTACTAGCTTTGTTTTAAAATACCATGTAAATGTACAAAAAAACACTAGACAGAAATGCACAAAATCTTTTGTTATTATATTTGAGGAACACATACTGAGTAACTTTTTATTTTCTTTGCATATATTTCTGCATCTATACATTTTTCTACAATGAGTGTAACCAAATAAAGTTGTAAAAATAAAAACTGACTTGTATAAAAGTTTTTGAAAACACTTGCTGGTAAAAAAGCAAGCTTCAGGTGGTCTTGCAGAGGGCTGTGTTTTACGGAAGCTGCATCTTTATTCTGTGCAAAGGAGGCGTCTCTGCAGCCGCGCAGTCAGAACACTACTTGGGTTTGCAGCAGCTTCCTGGGGAGAAGCCAGGTGTTTCAGGCTAAGGTGGCTAAGAAATTAAAAACTATGTAGAAAACTAAATATACATGTTGTATCGGTATTACAGTTTTGTAAATTGATTTTGTTTCAACTTTTTTTGTTGTTAGCAAGTTATTTTACATGAGCTGGTGAGTTTTGTTTGTAATGAAAGGAAAAGCTTGTTTTTACTCTTTTTATTGTTAATGCTAATAGAAATTTCTCTTTCATAGGCAGGTTTTTTTCCTGAGAATGTATTCTTTTTTCACTGTGATCTATTGCAGGATACTTTGGGGCTAGGCTACAGAATCTTTTTTTAAAGAATCTATAAAGTAAATCTGTTTATGTCTTTGAATTTGACTTCAGGATGATAAGCTGAGTTATCTGGGTTACATGTGACTCTGCTTCCCTGAGGCACATGATTAAGAGATCCAGGCAGAACCTGAGCATGAGAGCCAGGTGCCACAGTGGTGTAGCTTCATGATTTTCCCTAGTCTGCAATAGACAGTCCCTTACTTTCCCTTGTTCTTAGTTGGTAGCTGAGAACATGAATGCTAGGGGAAGAGCCTATGGGCATTTGTCTTGCTGCCTTTACAAAGTAATACTCTGTCCACCAGCATGAGGTAGTGGGCTGTGGATATGGCTCAGCATGACCTGGGTTTAATCTCCAGTACCACAAAAAAAAAAAAAAGACAATTTTTGTTGCATGATTTTACTATTTACAGATTGTGAGTCCCCAACCAAATAATGAAAACTGGAAGAGCAAAATTTCTGGGGGAAAAAATTATCTTACTCATTAGGTGTTCCATAACTCATAAATTCTTTTTATCTAATGTATTGCTTGATTTGAATCTTGTTCTGGTTGATGATTTTTCCCCTCAGGGATACATGAGGGAAACTTTTAACTATGATACTAAAAGCTATGTGTTCTAAATCTTTTGATTGGATTGTAAAACCAGTCTTACATGAAAACTACCTGCTGAATGGCTGCACTTGCCTGCAGTGTCTGTGTCACTCATCCGCCATCAAGATGTTATTTGTATCTCAAACTTTATCTCCCTCATTGTCTATTCCATTGGCTCAGAAAACAGTCTGTCTGCAAATACAGTTACCAGAATGTGTGCAATCCTTCCTCATTTATCACTGATGAGCTAAATCTTTATTAAGAACAAAGTTTATTTTTCACTTTTGCACTGACATATCCTTCAGTAGTTAAGCTAAGGAAGCAGAAGGCAAATCACATTATAAAACTGCTACCAAGATTTGTTCTACGTAGTATGGAGCAAGCATTAACACCTTTTCTTTCCTTACTCTACAAGATTTGCGGAGAAAAAAATGACATGATTGATAGTAATTGTTGTACATAGATCATAGCTTTAGAGAGTTTGGTGTTTTACAGTGATAGTTCTAATGATAAAAGGCCCAGAGGAAATACTGTATATAACTCAAGGTGTCAGTCTTCTGTCTGTCTAACAGTACCATTCATGGTAAAGATCATGTTGCCCTGGCCTGGCATAGGCCAAAGGTCTGTGTTTCCAAGGAGGAAATGAACATGCTTGGGGGCTGGGGAGATAGCTCAGTGGAAGAAGTGCTTGCCTAGCAAATGCAAGGTCCTGAGTTTGATCACTGGTACCACCAAAAAGTAAAAATAAAAAAAAGATGTAAAAATATTTTTTTAAAAAATGAACATGCTTAATTCACCAAGTACATTGTACCAAAATGAGTTGCTAGAGACCTCTTCCCATTACCTCACTTACTTTAGCAGAGCTGAAGTGTAGCAGTATTCATGCCCTAGCCAACATTTGGCTGTCCTGAAATTTCTTCCACCAAATCTGTCCACTTCACTTAAACTCACACAGTTTTAGGGCATGAAAAAAGACATTTTTAACATGCCTGGCCTCTAATCCCATTCTCAACATGATCTTTGTTTCTGTCTGAAACCTCATGAGCCCAGCATTTCCTATTAGCATTCTGGTCTGAGCTCAAACCAAGTCAGCCATCAGGTTCTGCCTACAGCATCCTAGGCCTCTACTAGCCCACCTCTCCAAGCCTTTCCAAACCTCTCCTTCAAACCTAGCTCTAAAGATTTCTGAACGTATGATCACTTCTCCAGTACCAGTTTTCTATATTTTCCCATTGCTGGAATAAATACTGGGCATCCATAATATAAGAAGTTCATTTGTCTCTTTTTTCAAAGGGTCAATTCCATATTCAACCGGCTGTATACAGGAACGTCAGGGCAGAATTGTGGAGGAATTCCTTGCTCATGGTGGCCAGAGAAGACCAAGAGAACACTGCCAGAAAGGGGCTAGGGACCAGACAAAGTACCTAAACTCCCTTCTTGGGCACACCCAGAAATCAGTAGAACTGCTTCACTAGTGGCTCTGCAGCAGAGCTGTCATACTACAATTCAGTAGTATAGAGATGGATCCTTGGGAGATGATTACATCCTGAGGCTTTTAATGATTTTTTTTTTTTTCCAGTACCAGGGCTCGAGCTCAGGACTTTGCACTTGCCAGGTAGGCACTTAGGCTGCTGAGCTATGTCCCCATCTAGGTCTTGGATGAGATTAACAGCTTTATCAGAAGAAGTTTGTTTTTACTCACTACTACTATCTGAGGACACAGGTAGAAGTCACCATCTCTGAAATACAAGTGGCCTGATACTGAATTGGCTACTGCTTTGATGTTGAACATTGTAAGTTCCAGAAATTTTTATTGTTTATAAATTATCCCATCTAATATTTTGTTATAACAGGCCAAATGGGCTAATAGAGCAGCATATGAAAAGTATTACCTTGATCAGCCACTTAAACAATCATGAAAATGGAACACTAGTCTTATCAGAATTTTGAGGAAACGGTTTTTGAAAGAGTACCAAGATCAAAACCCATGTTTAAGAATTCATATAACTAAAAGACATGTGCATGATTTCCTTTGTATTTTGTTGCAGAGCACATATTTTCAGAATTAAAAAACAAATTGATTTCACTTAGGAAGATTAACAGGAAACTCAATTTTCAAACTCTCAGTTTTATTCAGTCTTAAAACGTCTACACATTGGAATGTGATGATGTCCACATTCGCCACTCCCTTGGTAACCTCCCTGGAAGGATCCAGAAGGCAAAGCTAAAGCAGTAATAGGAATGTCAGTTTCAAATATATACAAAAATAGAACAATGAAGCCTAGCTTGAACAGCAACTGATTTTTATAGACAATCTTCCAAATTCCCACCTAGGCCACAGGTACAGCTTAGCAGCACAAGTACCTGACTGGCAAGCAGAAGGCCCTGAGTTCAATTCTCAGTACCAGTGAATAAAGTCCTACTTACTATCTTCCACCTATGTTGTATGGAACCATTTTTCATATATGATTTCATACAAGAATTCAGTGCTTCTAAAGGACATTTTAAAGATAGAACATTGATACTAGTATCCAAGTGATTAATACAAGTTTACTAATCTCAGAAAAAATTTTAGTGTTTGAGTGTTTAAATGCTGGGACTAAAGGCACAGCTGAGTGGCAAGGTGCCTGTCTGCCAGGTGTGAGGTCCTGGGTTTGATTTCCGGCTCCAAGAAAAACTCAAAATGCTTCATGAATCACATCTTCGTGAATCAAGATCCAGTTATGTAAGAGAAATCCAACATGGCTGATTAGAGGAGATACTTGGAGAAGAGTTACTGAAACATAAAGTGACCATACAGGAAAATAGAAAATGAATCTGAAAAAGGAATCTTTAGGCTCAAACCAGGTATGTAAGTTGTTGAAAACCAAAAGGGAGCTCTGCAGCTGGTCGTGCCTGGCCCTCTTCGTTCAGGGTGCACACCATCTTGGGAGCAGCCTAACCCTGAGGCAAGGAGCCTGCACTGCAGCGGCCAGACTCGTGGGCAAGGTCCCTAC